CTTTGTTGTTTGTTTTGTTTGTTGTTTCAGTTTTGTTTTTGGGGGGTGTCAGGCGGCCAGAGATTTGTTTAGAGCTTGTGGAAAGAGTTGTTGTAGACTTTTCAAGCGTTCAGAGTTTAAACTTTTTTCTATTTTTTATTTTAAAGTTTATTTAACATCGAGTTTTGCTGGTTCTTTTTAAACGGATCGTTTCAGAGTTTCGGTTTCAAGCCTTTGTTTGGTTTGAGTTTTCCCCAGGTTTTGGTTTAGAGATTTTCCCAAGTTTCTTAGATCCGAGATGTTCCATGGATTTGGCCTACCGTCTTTTTGAAGTTTTTCTGATGGTTTCTGAGATTTTCACAGGTTTTGGTTTAGATCGGAGGTGAGGGGGTGAGATCGAAGTGGAACGGAGAGCCCCCCTACCGGGAACTCGATTTCGGTTTCGTGTTCGTGCGTGCCGTGCGGGCGAGGCGAAGCTGCGTGGGCGGGCGAGAGAAAGTCTCCTGTGGCTGAGGCGCGGCCGGACCAAATGTCTCCCTTCCGGGCGGCCGGGGGCCCGCGGTGTCCCGCCGGTGTCCCGCTGGTGTCCCGTGTGGCTGAGGCGCGGCCGGACCAAATGACTCCCTTCCGGGCGGCCGGGGGCCCGCGGTGTCCCGCCGGTGCCCCGTCGGTGTCCCGATTATGGTGATGATATTGATGATGATGGTGATGATGATGACGATGTTGATGTTTTGTTTTGATGATCGATAGTGAGATCGGTAGTGATATTGATTGTGAGATCGAACGTGAGATCGAATGTCAGATCGCTTGTGAGATCGATTGTGAGATCGATTGTGATACCGAATGTGAGATCGATAATGAGATCGATAGTGAGATCGATTGTGAGACCGAATGGGATATCGATTGTGAGATCGATTGTGATATCGACAGTGAGATCGATAGTGAGACCGAATGTGAGATCGATTGTGGAATCTATTGTGAGATCGATAGTCAGATCGATTGTGAGATCGATCGATTGAGTTAGTAGTGAGATCACTATCGGTAATGAGATCGGTAGTGATTTCGATAGTGAGATCGATGATGAGACCGAATGTGAGATCGTTTGTGAGTTCGGTTGTGATATCGATAGTGAGATCGATAGTGAGATCGATAATGAGATCGAAAGTGAGTTAGATAGAGATCGATAGTGAGGCCGAATGCGAGATCGATTGTGATATCGATAGTGATATCGATAATGAGATCGATAGCGAGACCGAATGTGAGATCGATAATGAGATCGATGGGGGGTTGGATAGTGAGAACGATAGTCCGATCGAATGCGAGATCGATTGTGATATCGATTGTGAGATCAATAGCGAGACCGAATGTGAGATCGATTGTGGGATCGATTGTGAGATTGATTGTGAGATCGATAGTCAGATCGATTGTGAGATCTATCGATTGAGATCGATTGTGAGATCGGCAGTGAGTTCGATAGTGAGATCAATCGAGTGCGACGTTGGTCCCTCCCCCCCCCCTCACCTCCTTATCACCCGAAGGGTGGTCTATGCGGTATGTTATAGTTTTGTTGGGGTGTGGGATTTTCTTAGGTTTTGGCTTCGAGATGTTCCCAGGTTTTGGCTTAGAGATTTGTTGCAGTTTTTTGGGGTTTGGAGATTTTCGCACATTTTGGCTTATATGTTGATTGAAGGTGTTTGGGGGTTTGAGATTTTCGCAGGTTTCAGCTTAGAGTTTTTGTTATTTGTTGTTATTGTTGTTGTTGTTGTTGTTGTTGTTGTTGTTGTTGTTGTTGTTGTTGTTGTTGTTGTTGTTGTTGTTGTTGTTGTTAGTTCCTTCGCGCGATCTGGCGATGGACCGCCTGCAGTCGCTATTGCCGGACCTAGCCCTAGGTGGGATGGTGTAGCTCGTCTTCTGGTCCAGATCGTCTTCTGCTCCCGCCTCCTGCTCCGCCCAGTTCCCAGGGCCAACGGGGAGTGCACTCTCCCAGCGCTTTCTGGGCCGAGGCCTCCCCCCCCACCCCCTCGCCAGCGCGGGTCCACGACACCCGCGCGGAGCTTCGACATTTTCTGCTTCTTCTGCCGTCTTGTGCTGTGCTCGCGCGCCCGTCAGTTCGGCAGCAGACCACGGGAGCCTTGTGCGTGTGTGTGTGTGTGTGTGTGTGTGTGTGTGTGTGTGTGTGAGTGTGTGTGTGTGTGTGCTTGCAGCTCCGTCTTTGGAGCTGGAGTGTGCGTTAGCGCGCTCCCTTTTGATGGCCACATTCGCACCCGACCCCACCACCCCACGATTTCTAAAGGAGGAGGTGATGTCCACTTGGCTAGGGAGGACATCGTGGGGTGGTGGGGTAGGGTTCGCATGTGGCCTCTTACCCTTGTAGACCATCGCCTGGGGGCTCTCCTCTGGGAGCCTCTGAGGAGCCGTGCCGGCTGCCGGAGGCTTCCAGACTTGTTCAGGAGGGGAATTAACACACAAACGCAATTCATCGTCGACTTCCAGGAAAAATATGCGAAACAATGTGGGACGTTGGGGGAAGACGAACAGCCAGAAATTGTAGAAAAATATTGGGAGCCCTGGGATTGTTCCCCGATTAGGCTTGCCTACGGGGTTATCACTTGGTTAAAAGTTGGTGCCTCCTATTGTAACTTTGCCCGTTGCTCGGAGGTTCCTCGGGTTCCCCGGGTTCCTCGGGTTCCCAGCCCCCAGTGCCTCCTATTGTTACGTTGCCCGTTTCCTCGGGTTTCCCGGGTTCCTCGGGTTCCCCGCCGCCACCACACCAGATTCGATTGTGTCACGCGTTCGCTGATGCACGCATGTGCAATATTTTTTCCTGTATGTCGTGTTCATGTGCGCACGCATGGTATTTTGCATGTTTCCCCCAGTAGGCTTTGTCTAGAGGTCTCTACGTGTTTGTGAAGCAGTGGTGGGTGCCTGGCGCGGTTGTTGCATCCTTCCCTGGGGTTCCCGAGTAATATTTCTTGACAAATTCTTTCCTCGGGGGGTCCCCAGTTTTGGCTTTTGCACAGAGGCCTTGGGTTCCCTGGTCTTGTTCCTTGCTCGGGTTCTTCGGGGGCTCGGGTTCTTGTTCCCTGCTCAGGTTCCTCGGGTTCCCTGGTTTTGTTCCTAGGGTTCCCAGGCACTGCAAAGCAATGCCAAGCAACGCTCAGTATTGTTTGACCGAGCCCTATCCCCATCCCCATCCCGATCCCCACCATCCCACCACTCCAGTTGCACTGTATATCCCCATCTAGGAGGTAAATCGACCAGAGCGGTCCAGGCCACTCCAGTGGGGATAGGGATCAGTTAAACAATGCTCAAACGCCTATCAATGCAAAGCCAAACCTCCACCTAATGCTGAGCAGTGCCAATCAATGCCAAGGCATGCCAAGCAGTGCCAAGCAACGCCAAGCAATGAACAGCAGTGCAAAGCAAAGCCAAGAAACGGCAAGCAATGCGCCTCACTATACAACAGGAAGTTTTCCCCTCATTGGGGCCGCGCTTGATTCGTGTCTATTCATATATTTATGTGCTCCTGGCCCCCTTCATTCCAAACCTGTTCAGGAGGGTGCCCAGGGGCCGCCTAGATTGTCCAGGATTGCCCCAAACGGCGCCAAGATAACTCCAGGACGGCCCCGATTGACCGCAAGAGAGACCCTCTGTCAAACGCCAGTGCAGCGCGATGGGTGCCCGCCCATGGTCATGAGCTCGCCCCAGTGTGCACTCTGTATTGCTTTTTTGTTTGACAGAGATAGTGGAGGATGTGCCAGCAGTTCTCCTGGTCGGCGGCCTATCGAGTGTGGGAGTATGGCAATCCGCATTTGCGTTTATACATGTGTACATGTTTATGCACATACAGTTGTTTACACACATTTATGCAAGCATACACTTATACACAAACGTATGTCTGTACGTATCTCTATATATATACACATAGAATTGTGCGTATGCTGGTCTACATTTATATCGGCCAGCGCAGACCCCAAGCTGCCTGCTTCTAGTAACACATGGTTTGCAAGCTACGTGGGGCAATGTATGTTGTGGAATATAGGTGGTGCAATCAAAGTTCGAAATCTGTGTTGCACCATCTATGTGGTGCAATCTATGTAGCGCAATCCGCCCTGCCGAACTTGAAGTTGTCAACTCCACTGCTCGCGCAATCATCCCACCCACCCACCCGCAACTTGGTTTGCAAAACCCATGCGGCGGCGAATGCGATGAGTGCTTGGTGTTGGCTGGTGCATCTCTGCGGCCGCGCTGGCTAGTTTGCCGCGACCGACGTGGCCGCGGTGGCGCTGACCGTTGGGCACGTCCCAGCGGGCACTCCAGTGCGAGTCGGCGACTTGGGCGGGCGCGGTGTCATGGCAATGTCGACTGCGGTAGACACGGTGACGATAGTAGCGATGCTGGTGATGATAGTCACAAAGATGACGGCAAGGCCAGTGACGGCGCCGATGCTGATCGCGCCGACGACGATGATGGTGTCCTCGCGTC